TATATATATATATATATATATATATATATATATCATTTTATATATCAGGCATCGTACTTTCTCTTTAATATCAGCCTGATACTAAAATAATGAGATTTCAAAACTTTCCTCAGTGAACGATAAGTAGACTCCGAAAATTCTAATTGATTGTGTTTAATCTATATGTGCACAAGGTCCCAATTATTTAATATACATTGCAACTAACAAACTGACTTATATTACCTCCCGTTTACATCATGATGCTCTCATTGCAGTCAGTATTCACAGACCTGGAAATCCTTGCAGCTTTATTTGCAGCAGCCATTCACGATGTTGACCATCCAGGTGTTACAAACCAATACTTAGTGAACTCTAGTAAGTATACTCTTTGTAGCAGCTTTAGAGAGTTTTCTGTCTACTTCTCTTGTGAAGACTTCAGCTAACGTTTAACAAAGGAATCCTTTTTATTATAATAAAATTATGCATATTGTTCTTTTAAGCTATAAATTAAGTAATATTCCATTATAATATTAGTTTCATTCTTGTTATAATCTTCAATTCAAAACATTTCTAGTTTGTTTATGGAATTCAAAGGGTGGGCGGAAATTATATTATTCAAATTAATTAACACTTATTTCTGAGCTTGTGAGGAATTAGAACACATATTGTTCATACTTGCGTGTTTGCCACTGACAGAATATCTCAATAGCAGAGATTTAAATCTCCTGTCTCAGACCCTCAATTTTGTTAAAATACTTTTATGACACACACCCTGTATTGTGTTTATTGCTGTTAATTTGTTGTTGTTGTCAAGATGTGATTATAAATCATGAACCTACTACGATAAAACATACTGTCACAGGTTAAATTTTGTCAGACATTTTAAAAGTAGAATAAATATAAAAAAATAACTTGAAGGTAAATAATTTCAAACGGCACTTGTGTAATATACACATATATACAGGTGTACAACGCTAAAATAATTACACAATAAATAATTTATCAAACAGGAACCAGCCCTAAAATGACTCTACATGTTTCGGTGTTTTTACGCCACAAATTTTAGTATATGTTAATGTAAAAATGTCAGTGTATATTATTACGAATTGGTAATTACGAGGAATCTGTTGTTAGGTTCCGAAAAACCCATTATGTACATTCATCAAAACATGATCTTGTCTGTAGGTTCTGAACTAACTGTTATGTACATTCATCAAAACATGTTCTTGTCTGTAGGTTCTAAACTAGCCATTATGTACATTCATCAAAACATGATCTTGTCTGTAGGTTCTGAACTAGCCATTATGTACATTCATCAAAACATGTTCTTGTCTGTAGGTTCTGATCTAGCCATTATGTACAACGATGAATCTGTTCTTGTCTGTAGGTTCTGAACTAGTCATCATATATAATGATGAATCTCTTCTTGTCTGTAGGTTCTGAACTAGTCATTATGTACAACGATGACTCTGTTCTTGTCTGTAGGTTCCGAACTAGCCATTATGTACAACGATGACTCTGTTCTTGTCTGTAGGTTCTGAACTAGCCATTATGTACAACAATGAATCTGTTCTTGTCTGTAGGTTCTGAACTAGCCATTATATATAATGATGAATCTGTTCTTGTCTGTAGGTTCTGAACTAGCTATTATGTTCAACAATGAATCTGTTCTTGTCTGTAGGTTCTGAACTAGTCATTATATATAATGATGAATCTGTTCTTGTCTGTAGGTTCTGAACTAACTGTTATGTTCAACAATGAATCTGTTCTTGTCTGTTGGTTCTGAACTAACTGTTATGTTCAACAATGAATCTGTTCTTGTCTCTAGGTTCTGAACTAACTATTATGTACAATGATGAATCTGTTCTTGTCTGTAGATTCCGAACTAGCCATTATGTATAATGATGAATCTGTTCTTGTCTGTAGGTTCTGAACTAACTGTTATGTTCAACAATGAATCTGTTCTTGTCTGTAGGTTCTGAACTAACTTTTATGTACAATGATAAATCTGTTTTTGTGTGTAGGTTCTGAACTAACCATTATGTTCAACAATGAATCTGTTCTTGTCTGTAGATTCCGAACTAGCCATTATGTACAATGATGAATCTGTTCTTGTCTGTAGATTCCGAACTAGCCATTATGTATAATGATGAATCTGTTCTTGTCTGTAGGTTCTGAACTAACTGTTATGTTCAACACTGAATCTGTTCTTGTCTGTAGGTTCTGAACTAACTGTTATGTTCAACAATGAATCTGTTCTTGTCTGTAGGTTCTGAACTAACGGTTATGTACAACGATGAATCTGTTCTTGTCTGTAGGTTCTGAACTAACCATTATGTTCAACAATGAATCTGTTCTTGTCTGTAGATTCCGAACTAGCCATTATGTTCAACAATGAATATGTTCTTGTCTGTAGATTCCGAACTAGCCATTATGTTCAACAATGAATCTGTTCTTGTCTGTAGATTCCGAACTAGCCATTATGTATAATGATGAATCTGTTCTTGTCTGTAGGTTCTGAACTAGTCATTATATATAATGATGAATCTGTTCTTGTCTGTAGATTCCGAACTAGCCATTATGTACAATGATGAATCTGTTCTTGTCTGTAGATTCCGAACTAGCCATTATGCATAATGATGAATCTGTTCTTGTCTGTAGATTCCGAACTAGCCATTATGTATAATCATGAATCTGTTCTTATCTGTAGGTTCTGAACTAACTGTTATGTTCAACAATGAATCTGTTCTTGTCTGTAGGTTCTGAACTAACTGTTATATTCAACAATGAATCTGTTCTTGTGTGTAGGTTCTGAACTAACTGTTATGTACAATGATGAATATTTTCTTGTGTGTAGGTTCTGAGCTAGCCATTATGTTCTACAATGAATCTGTTCTTGTCTGAAGATTCCAAACTAGCCATTATGTACAATGATGAATCTGTTCTTGTCTGTAGGTTCTGATCTAACTGTTATGTTCAACAATGAATCTGTTCTTGTCTGTAGGTTCTGAACTAACTGTTATGTACAATGATGAATATTTTCTTGTGTGTAGGTTCTGAGCTAGCCATTATGTTCTACAATGAATCTGTTCTTGTCTGAAGATTCCAAACTAG